GCCCCTGATGGAGCTAGAGCTTCGCGGAAAAAACGAGCGTGTTGCCCGTCACGAGAGGAAGCGGAAAAAGTGAACCGAGGTCGCCAAAGGTCAATGACTTGACCTGACCTTCAGGTGACCTTGACACCCACCCTAATGCATAGGAGCAACATTAAATCACATGTTTGAACGTTTGAAACCACGAAAAGCTTGCAAACGCGCGGCTAATGCGAGCCGACATACGCCGAATCGCGATTCCGGCCAAACATGGTCTCGGAAAAGAGGTCACAGGTCAAAGGTCATTTGGGTCAGGATCATGGAATAGTTAGGGTAGGTGTAAAATTGAGCAATGCGAGAGTACTGAAAGTTTCGACGCGATCGGCCGCTTTTTACGCGAGTTATTTGCGAAAAAAATTAGGGGGAGGGGTTACATCAACCCCCGTTCTGGCGAGGGTTAAGCGTACCGAAATATATTAGGTATTATGTATAATATAACTTTTCCGAAATATATTCACTCATTTTCGGTCAAGTATATATTTCTGAAGATAGTGAGCATACGGTTATTTCTATACGCTATCCTAGAAGCGCATACCTATAAATCAGGTGTCATTTGCCGCAAATGCAAACTTTGATTTTTGCGAAGAGATGTCCTGATTGTGTGACCTAGCCTTGGCCATGATCTATGCTGCACCGACCGCTGCATGAGCCTGGCACTGGTGTGACACTTTGAGGAAAGATTCCTTACAATCCTCACATAGTTAGTGGCAAGAGACGCCCAGTAGGAGGTTCACAAGTCCATGCTACTGAAAGCCCTATGTTGGGTGCTTGACCTGACCTTAACACGACCTGTTGCCTCGGAATTCAGCTTTAAAACTCATTAGAAGCATCTTGTGGCGGGCTTTTGTGTGATGTCTTTGGTGTTCCAGGAGCTGGAAGGAATCGAGGATTGAAGCGGGGAAAGGAAATCATCCCATTCTCCAACGTGAGTGTTTCTCAAATGTACTTGATGTACTTGATGTACTTGATGTTCAGGTAAAGAGGACTAATAAGCCCTGTTGGTCCTGCTCTTGACTTTATAAGTGAACCCAACTGGTCCACTCTCGTGCCATAACTTTACTGGCTACTAGTTGAGTACAGTGAGCTGTTTGTTTGAATTTCGTCAAACCTATTCTTAAATTGGTTTACATTTTGAGAGTCTACCAAGGATTGTGACAGGGCATTCCAACTGTTGACCGTCCTGCTTGAGAAAAAGTGCTGTCTGGTTGCTAGTCTTGCCCTTGGTTTCTTCACTTTATGACTATGGCCGCGGGTTCGTGTATCTGTAGTCATCTGGAAGAAGTGTTCGACTCTCACCCGTTCCATTCCTTTCATAATTTTGAACACCTGTATCATATCCCCCCGGTACCGCCGATGACTCAATGACGGAATATTTAGCGCACGCAGTCTTTCTTCATACGACAGATGTTTCACCTCAGTAACCAGGCGGGTTGCCCTTCTTTGCACTTTCTCTATTTTTGCTTTGTCGGTTTCATATATAGGGCCCCAGATCCGAAATAATAACCGAAAATAATAACAAATAATAACCGAAATGCAGCAACGAGTCGGTACGAGATGAATTATATAAATACTAAGCCGCAATTTGATAATCCACTTTGGAGGTGAGAAATTCACTGACAGATTGTACCATTGAACAACGTTTATCTCACACCAGATTTAATCGATTTGAGAGATGCTGCACATCTGCTTTTTTACTACCATTCGCCTTAATGTAAGGGTGGTAGCAATGTCTTTAGTTTTTCAATCACGCAAAATTGCCATCTTCAATGTCGCCTACAAGATAGCCATCAGATTACTGGCTGGTTACGACGTAACAAAAGGACACATTAAGGTCAGAGAAACTGTCGATTGCTGTAATGGACCAGCCTTTCATCTCCATCTTTTCAAGTTAAGGCGAAATGTGGGCGTCAATGGGCTCATCAATTGAAACTCACGAGCTTGCACCGAATCAGGAAACACCCAAAAAGTCATTCATTCTATCCATTCAAAACCAGTTCACTCGTTTCATTTGTTGCCAAACTTTTCCGTTAGCCCGTCATTACAGATCCTTGCTTCCACTGATGTACCTATCTGCGATAACAGAAAAGAAAGGAAGTGGAAAGAGGAATGTAAAAAGGTTGAACCATCAACTAATAATTATAAAATTAAGACGCATCAGGCAAAAGGCATCTATTGACGCTTTATAATGCAATGAGAATCGTTAACTTCATCTTCTTCCATCTTCAAATAAAACTAGGCCAGGATAAGTGAGAGCCCGGTTTGAGATGCGTTATTCCGGTGTCATATGCTCTAGAATCGGGAACCACTTTTTTCACGCTACGCATACGATGAAGAGCGGAAGTATCCCAGCCCAGTCTTGCATCGGAAGCTGCTCAGGCCCCACCCGTTTTCCGGAAGGCCTCGGAGGCGTGACGCTGCAACCGGTCCGGACTTTGGCGCGCCACCGCCGCAGTTGCGCCGTTATCGCCGCCAGCGAACGTGATTGGACGGGTCCGTATACAGCTGAGCTGGTGGGGAGTGACTTTTGCAGGGAAGTGATTCCTGTAGGGCGTGCCGGAACAGGAGATGAACGGCAGAGAGGTGGTGAGCACAACTGCTCGAGAATGTGCTGGCAATGAAGGTCGGAGCCGAGCAGAGGACAGGCATGTGTGGGCGGATCAATAAATAATCATATTGTGCATAATACAATGCAAAGACATGCGCATTGCACAGTATCACACTACCAAGATATCTATTTACGAAATCCAATACCATGGCTAACGAGTTTTTTTAATGATGTATCTAAAAGCTATGTATCTGTATAGTATATGATATCATAAACAACCCATGATCCCATAAAATATTAAACATGTTACATTTCAAAACCATATTTTTTAAAATCATGTGTGTTTAAAACATCTTATCATTCACTTCTTACCTAGTGTGAGATAAAATATAGCAATCGACATATCTAAAGAGAGTTCTTAATAAGCTCGTGGGCACCGCATAAATTTATAGCTATTTTGGGGTCACGAAGCAACCACATCCAGATAGATAGTCAGCTCCCAGTGGTTACACAACGTCTGATCAGTGAATTGATGGACTTAGTCGTAATGACGCCACATAGTGAGCCATCAGCGAAGAAGCCATTAGACCTGCTGCAAGGCACCGGCGCTGGCGATTCACGTCCAGAGGCTATATTTTTCGACGGGGCAGGATTAGCCGTGCTGCACGAAGCAGACAAGAACTGCACGGGCCAGTTTGTTGCTCAACCGACAGTGTTTTTGGTGTTTCTTTTCATCTGTTCATGGGTGAATCCATCAGTCTCGTCGGCCCATCTCTGGCGGGCCCCTGCTGGCCCGTCTCGGCTCGGCACGGCCGTTCTGAGGAGCACCGGACGGCGGTGGGAGTAGCGGTCAGCGGCCGACATCGGAGAAAGTATCGGCCGCACCGTGTGTCGTCACAGACCGGCCGGCCTCTGTGTCAAGTTGAGCCGGTGGACGGCCGCCCCTCCGAGAGGGGGAGGGGTTGTCTCTCAGACCACGCGGGCTGACCCGTCACGTACCCATAGCACGATGCAAAGAACATCTCCGTTGACCTCTCTACATAGGCAGGCACTCAAGCAGCCTGGGCTGGCATGAATGCTGTTGCATAGCGGAGTTTTTGGACCGTGTTTGGCTGGGATGTTTGGGAAGCACCGATACCGTGCGATGCGGCTTATTTGTTTCTTCGAATGGATATTAATTGTCATTGAAATATATTTCAATTAGATTAGATACGTTGCTCAATGCTCATCCAGAGGCATTCGATATTTGTTGAAGGAACGAATGTTTTCTTAAATGTATTTTGGGTACTAATTCATTCACTAAATCATTCAACGTCGCCTCCCGTAAAACGTCGTCCGTTCCGAGCTCAGTTAATGTGATGTTGCACTCCCGGTGATTAGAGCTTGAGTTCGACTCGCCCCGGCACCAATACATGAGACTCTCGAAGGGGTCTGTGTTTGGTGGCACCGTAGCCAGTTGAAGTCAGTTGAGTGCAGGGACAGACCGCGTCTGGCTTTGATGGGCAGGTATAACTTTGGCATCCACGAATTGTCCCAATACCCGGAATTAATCGATCGTTGTAGTCGGGGTCTGCGCATTAACTAATATACAAATGAGTGAAAATAAATGGCATACAACACACCCAAATAAATTTTACCACTCGTATTACACTGATTGCGTGTTCGATTGCCCTTACAAGTTTACCATCACTATGAACTGCTTACCTATCGAATCTATTTCTGCCTATCCCATTGAATTTAGTCGGCCTCGTCCGCCCCCGGACCACGTCTAGCGCCGTGTCAGTATTAATCCCAGATACCCATACACCCCAGTACCAAGTACCCACGTACCCAAGTAATGTACCCAAGTACCCAAACCCCAAGCGTCGGCTGACAGAGCTGTCAACAGTTTTTTATGCTGACCCTGTGAAGTCTGGTCTGGGAAGGCGAGGACACGACAGGGATAAAAACGCCTTTTTGACGTTATAACACCGAGGTCGTACTGGCACACGTCCAGACAACTGGTTGACTTTTTTATTGAGCTGCGTTATTTTGAGAAACTCTGATACTGGTGGCTGCTGCAGATCACGTGGTAGCTAAGCGGGACATGTTGAAAAGCACCGGAGGCTCAATGAAAACAAAAAGAGAAGTTCCGTGGTCCGGAAGACCAGCGAAACTTGTCAATGAAGCCAGAGAGAAAAAGCATAGGCATTAACTAAAAGCCAACAATAGCTGGTTTGAAAAAAAAAAATCCAGAGATAGGCAAGAACAGATTCCCTGCACCTTCAGGATGCATCCTACCTTCGTGCAGTCGCAATCTAGTTGGCATTTTCAACACCTTTGTAATTAGCCGCTTATTCATTGCGACGTGCATCCCCATCATAATGCTATTTAATGTGTGGACAGAAAGTGTACAAATGTAGGCAGCACAGCACATATATATCGGAAAATTACTTCTGTATTTCGACTCCTTCGGTGTCACACTTTCATACTATTTGTTTAAAACGGTCATTAGATGTATTTACTGCATATCACGAGAAGCGATGCACTTTGGCCAAAACTGTATACAATGTTTGAACTTTGAATCCACTGAAGATAAAACCTGACGAGTCCAAAGCAACTGATTGCAAATGACACGATGTGCTTGGGGAAATTTAATAACTCTCATTTATCACACGAGTTGTTTATGTGGTGCACTGTAGACAATTTCCACGATAACGGATGAGGTTCATCTTGACGGAACTGTCTTTTCTGCGCTTATCCTTTGTACCAGTTTTGGCTGCAAAAGACAGAGCACATTATTATGAATTAAATACACCAGTATCGGACACAACTAATTACACTACAAACGTTACAATAGGGAAGTTCAAACAAAAACTTATTGTGCGAAAAGTAAAGGAGGAGCGAGCGAGCGATTTTAACAGAAGCAGCCGCAATTCAAGTCAAGCATTACAGCAGTTTGATGTGGCACTACATTTCAAACAAACGCTTATGCAGCAAGCGTTCCTCTCAGGTGTCTATTACTTATGAGTACAATACTCACCATTTAATACTGGAGACATTCTCTGGGTCGTCGCATCTCTTGGTGTCGGCGTTGAAGACGCGTCCCTGCTCGCAGCCGTGGCGGCGCGGCACGACACCGTCCAGGCAGGAGAAGAAGAACTGGCAGTCCTTGGGGTCCTCGAACCGCGGGTGGAGCGGCTGCCCGGGCCCGGGAGCGACGATCTTCGTCCCCGGACACTGGAAGTCCAGGTACTCTGGAAAGGACACCGAGATTTATAGACATGTCATGCTTTTTAGACAACGAAAGTCATTTACATCCGACGCTGCCCTAGATCGTCCGTTACGTTATACCTGCAGTCTGCACCCAGACGGTAAATGCCAACGGTCACCAAGCGCGCGTAGCTATACGGCGAAAGTCTTTCAGAGAATGGTGGTGACACCTGGCTTCTCTGCGCACTCCAGCTCCGTGCTGTATATCGCGGTAGGTGGCGCTCCAGCTCTAGATACGGGGGTCTGGTGAAACGTATTGGTGACTAGCATTAAGATATTTGTCGACTTTTTGCTGTGAATAATATAATATATAGTGATCTAATTGATAATAGATTCATTCAATCAGTGAAATAAAGTGATAGGTAGAAACTCTAGCAAACGTAAATTACACGAACTAGGCATTTTCTATGCCAATCACATAACGTCACACCTCTCCCAGTACCGTGCTGAGCCCTCAATCCCAGCTCAGTCACTGACGCGTCACTCACCCTCTGAGTTGCAGTTGCGTCCGGCCTGGTCGGGCCACTGACACGTGCTGGTGGTCAGCGAGAAGAGCAGACCGGCCGGGCACGTCAGGTGGTTGGCCTTGCCCTCTGTGCACTGGGTGAACTTGTTACAGATGGTCGGATCTGGGTCCGGGTAGTAGCCGTTCTGACGCGGGCACAGGGGGCCGGCCGGCTGCGGCTCCTCTGTTCAACAGGGACAACAGAGAGGACTGTCAGAAGAGCAGCCTACCATGCCTAATTTTGTGGCTACCTACATATGCTACGCACGCATGCATTGGAAGCATTGTCTAAAAATAGCTCATTGCATTTTGGTTTGAAGTCTACTGAGCTGGATTAGGTGGAAGAGTGCAGAAAAGCACAAGACAACCAGCAAGGAGACTGCAGGCTGGCACAAGTAGCTACCACCGATAAAGACCGCAGAAGAGCCAGACAATTTATCAGCGGGGAGACTGCAGGCTGGCACAAGTAACTAGCCGTGAAGGAGACTGCAGGAAAGCACAAGCAAATAACCAGCAAGGAGACTGCAAGCTAGCACAAGTAGCTAGCATTCTCAGAGACTGCAGAAATGCACAAGAGCATAACCATTGACCAGCTAAGGGATGAGATGAGATGAGATGAGAGATGATTTATTTGAGCATCCATATTTACACTTGTCGAAACATTACGATTGGCGTAGAAGCGCTATGGCGCTTAAAACGAGACGCCGCTCGAAACACGTAGAAAGCAGACAATAACACTTCTAATCGAACACTACTAATTACTACTGATCTTTATCAAAATGTCAATATTAACATAGCGAAGTCGACCCTGCCTTGGCCGAAGCGCCTGTCCCCGCCCCTACTCGCGCCATTGCTGTGTATTCCGAAATGGAAGTGCTGCTCCTAGTTCTAGCAGGCAAATCTCCGCGTTTTGAGTATATAGCTCTGGACGGCCATGGCGGTGTCATGGCGGGTAGCCTTCATAACTCGCGAAGGCCCATTTAGCAGTGTTTCTATTTTCTTTTTCCGAGGAATGTTTTGAAAGTTCTCACTGAGAATTTCAGTTAACCTTTCGAACAATTCTTCTCGTTCTGTGCGAAAGAGTGGACAGATTAGGAGGAAATGCTCGCTGTTTTCTGTAGCAGCACCACAACTGCACTTGGCTGAGTCACTTTTCCCTAATTTGAATCTGTGGTCTTTAAGATCTGATGAATTAAGCCTGAGTCGGGTGTGAAGCCGGTTTCCAATTTTGACTATACGTGAAGGGACTATACGTAAGCACAGCTAGCACGTACGGAGACCTATTTTCGCGGGAAGATGGAAATGAAATAACATCTGGAATGGGTGCTGCCAGTTCCATATCTTTTGGCGAGTCTTACTCCAGCTTTGACTCTAGCTCCGACTCCGGACATTTCTCATGTTCATTCGCTCGATGTTTCTGCCGCCTAATTTAATACCCACGCAGCTCCTCCCGTCTAATTTAATACTCACGCAGCTCCTCGCGCCCGGTGCAGTTGACCACGTGCATCAGGTCGCAGCGACCGTACTCGGTGCTGAAGTCGTTGAACACCATACCGTCCGGACACAGGTGTTCTGTGATCTGGTAGTTGTGACATTCGTAGTAGCGGTCGCACTGAAAGCAAAGGTAAGGTAAATACCTAAAATATACCAATGCATCTGCAGTCAGGTCAGATAGGTAGAACCATAGACCTCTGTGTAAAGAGGTAAATGGTAGAACAAAAAAAAGGAAGTTTTGGTTGATAAGTTCGATAGATCTGTTAGCACTCTATGGAAGATGAAGCATGAATATATACAATAAACGTAATGCATAATGCGTCGTCAACAATTAAACATCTTACTTTTCGAATAAATGCCCTGAATATGACATGAGGATTCCGATTCATTATCACGAAGGGCCTAGCACTCCCACCTCGAGCTGTTATAGTTACGCGCAGTCGGTCTCCTTCATTGGTGCACAACATTCACACATGAGATTTAGGTCATCTAAATAATGCAAGGCTCTCCCACCATAAGTCGTCTCAGTTACCTGGAAGGCATCAGCGAAGAAGCCGTACTTCTCGGGACACTCGGTCTCATAGTCGACATCTGGAAGGGGCTCCGGTGCGGCGGTGGTACGACGCGTCGTCACGCGCGTCGTGGTCGTGCTCGGTCGTTCAGTGGTGGTCGGGGGCGGTGGCGGTGGTGCCTCCGTCGACGCGTCGGGGGTCGTCGTGTCGGTGTCGACGGCCGGCGTGTCAGCAGCGACGGCGCCCCTGGGCGGCCCACGGCGCAGAGGCCGCGCGCGCCGCCGCGGCGGCCGCAGCCCGCTGGCTGGGGAAAGACATGTGCATTTACTAAGCGGTTTTTAGTGAGCTGAAGCTGATATTGGCGCATATCAAACGATAGCATGAGGATGTGCGCTCAGTTACCGAATCCAATAGCCGTTTTCACGACGGGCTATCCGGTGAATGCACCTAAGTTGACCAGATCTGCACCTAATCTGCACCAAATGTGCACCAAATGTGTACCAGATGGCCATCGTGAAAACGGCTAATATCGAGGCAGCCGTGAATTGCGAAAAAGAGCACGGTAACTGAATGTCCGTTTCCAACATGTTACTTTTTAGACGAAAGTCGTGGAACTTAGATGCAATTTTCCTTTGCATGAATTTAAGCAATGGCATATATTTTTTTTCACAAACTGAAAACCGATTAATCTGCAATCACGCTAAAATTCGTGAATTTATTTACAAACACCCAGCAAGAAAACGTAATCTGTGATGTTCTAATGCTTCTACACCGTTCATATCAATGTCCGTCTCCGCGCTCGAATAAGCAGGGTCGGGATGCACACGAGACAAAAACATGTTTCCAACTATTTCCACTAACAAAGCATAGCATAAGCAAGAACGGGGCCAAGAAGCCTCTGTACGTACGAAAGGTTTTGTACATGACTAAGACGGCTACCTATCTCTCTGTGTGGCAAGCCATTGATCATAGTCATAGTTTCGTAACACGCTTTTGCAATATAAAAAAGCACAATAAGACCTGCCAGGTACATTTGACAGATGATTGCTCTGTTCGAATGCTGTACGGCTCAATCAGTGGCGAAGGAACACCGTCAATTAAGAGGGGGGGGATGCCGACTTTTTATCCCATTCTTTCCATGCAACGCTAATAGGACTAATGTTAAAATGCCAAAATAAAAGGGGGCACGGTGCCCCGGTGCCCCCTCGTTCCGCCGCCTACAAGCTCAATGTACTTTTGCCGACAGAAAAATACAGCAAACTGGAGCACAAGAGCCCTGTCAGCTGGCTCCTTTCTTCCGGGTTTCAAGGTTACCATGGGGAGACCAGACCACGGTCACAGCAGTGCGCAATCTAGAGTGAAAGTCCAACATCCAGAGTGGAAAAGTACGACGCACATGCATGACATTCCTAAAATGAAAAGAAACACAAGTTAAACAAATAGAATCAATTCAATTTCAATTCATCCACCAATAAAAGACCATAAATTAGCTTTATCTTTCATAAAAAAACGAAACGACCCTCAGATCGAAACCTGTCTCACACGACCCAGCTAAGCAAACAAGACCCGTTATCTGCTCATCTCATCACGACTTCTCCCCCGACGTTTGTTTACTCACCGAGTGCCAGCAGAAGGAAGCAGAGGACGAGGCTTCGCCACATCGCAGGCGCTGCTGGCGGTCGCCGCAGCCGGCCTCTGGTGGCTGCGGTCACGGCTCGTCGCTGGCCCCCTAGCGGCCGGTGGTCGACTCAGGGCAGCCGGTCTCCCGGACCGGCCCGGGATGGGACCGACCGGGCCGGGATGGGAGCCGAGCAGAGTCAGCCGGGACCAATCCGACGGCCGAAGGTCGGCTCAGACCGTTACTGGTCGTCTGCCGACCCAGCTGTCCAGAGTGACGGTCCAGCCTGGTACGGCCAGACCACAGCTGAACCACAGAGACAGGCACAGGCCCATACAGAAGTCCCTCAAAATGTCCTAGAAGCTTGTCTCGATTGGTGATATCGCAAGGTGGTAGGCGGCAGACGGCGAAAAAGGCATCAATGCCTACTGGCAATCGGATAAATGGTCGTGATCGATGATCAACTGTCGATAAGCTGAAAATGACCGGGTCGCGTACTAGCTATACCGGCTGACCAAAGCCGATATGGCCCACATCGAAATGTATGTGCAAGAATAGAGCAGTGACCGATTTGGATGACTGCAGTTAAATAATCTAGCAACCTTTTTTAGCCAAAAAGTATTTGTATTTTTGGTATAGCCCGGCGGTTTAGTAAAACTGAATGACTTGCTGAAGATTAGGCAAAAACTTTACATGAAGTGTTGCTGCTTCCAGGCGTTGTATTAACTATTAAGTAAATTTGCCTACGTTTGTATAGTCATGTGTGCAGCGTACCTGCAAGTTGTACGAGAATGAATGAATAAATGAATGAAAGAGTGAAAGAAGTGCAGGAAACGAGCACAGAGATACAAATAATGGCACTCGCGGTGACCCATGAATGACATTCTCTTGCTTAGTTTCTGACATCGTCCATGAAAGATTGGCACTATTGAAATGTGACTGCAGCAACATTCATTGTTCAACTGAAGACTTTAACACTTCAAAGAAGCCACTTACGAGTTACGATAAATATGTGGGGAATTGCAAGAATCGTCAGCATTGTGTGATAATGCATAATCAGTGAAGGTATACGATTTCTTTGGAGTGGCAACGGGAAGCCTGATTAAAAGAGTCATGCAACGACTGCCTGTATAGGTGCAATTACCTTTCTCTTCTTTAGAGAACCTTCGCCGCTCGCTTGTGACCGGCGCCGACCTCCGCCGTCCTTCCGAGTGTGGGTCGGATCCGGTTAAACGGGTCACCTCACACATATTGCTACATATTTGACTGAATGTGTGATGATAACTAGCTATGCGAATGGCTCCGCTCTTAGGCACGGACGAGATTATACTTTCCTCCCTGTATACGACGGACAATTTAATCGCTGTGTCCACATTCAATTCAGTTCCGGCGGGCTTTCTACATCTGCGTTCATTGTTTTATGAGATCAACCCAGATTATTTGCCGCAATCACACACAACACGTCTCGATTAACTCTAAATTTCAACTTTCTTTCGTTGAGCGTAGCTGTAATTCAACTATAAACTTTAAACCATCAATATCCACATACCGTTTGAATTGTCATTCATTTCAATAAAGTCCAACCTCGAAAGATGTCAGCAGCCTTTCCCCTATAACTCGGGGATTATGTAAAAGGATCGGTATTAGCTGTGGAGCTGGTCAAAAATTATCACAACAGTCCTCCCGTCATGTAATAATAATCTTCCAAGAAATCCCCAATAGTCATTTTTTATTACTTTAACATTTTCTGACAAGGGAGCCACTTGTGAACCAAATGTGAACCGAAAGGGCGGCCGTTAGCGCAGCCCGAGGCCCATGGTGAAGGAAGGACGCGGCTGGCCACCCGGAGAGAAAGGAGACGCGCCGTGACAGCCGCGCCAAGTTCAAGGCTGCCGAAGGGCGAGTCCTCCCGGGAATAGAAAGTTGCCCGTCGAGACGGACTCACCCGCTAGTGTCGTGTTCCGACAATTGGAGGGCCCCCGGCTGGAAAATGGCCGTCGGGTCGCCACACCCAGCATTCGGTGAACTGGGCGAGGGCACGTGATACATCTACAGGCTCTGGCAGTGGCAGGCAATGAATGGGGCTGCCGGAAAACGGAGCCGCGGCAATTCCACATTCCAGTGCACTTGGAACGCAATGGACGGTCATTGTTTGTACTCGGAATGCATAGCCTGTTTGGAAAAACATCGTTTGCTTACTCGTGCCATAAGGAAAATCACCTTGCTTGGGTAGGCTCTTTTTTCATCAGCTGCGATCGAAAAGCGAACAACTCACATATATCCTTCACACCATTGGCTTTTTTTTTAACTGACGATATGTTTCAGCCTCATGCTTATGCCACCTGGGCCTAATCCAACGGTATATTGCTACATCATTTTTGGTCGCATAATGAAGGTATATCAAACATTTTCATTTGGCATGCACTTGGAGGACACAGAATCTGTCTCATCCTTGATTCTGCAATATCGCATAAACTCTTCAATCTTGTTTCTTGAAACTGAATTCCTACCCGATTCCACTTTTATTTAAAGAAATGTCTTCATGGATAAATTTAACAAGCATGTCGAGAATTTCGATATAGATTTATGAAGACCTTTTAATGATGCCACGTCATGTCCTTTTAAGACTAAGAACTCCAAAACTTTGAAAGCTTTTCACAGTTGCGGTGGTACGGAAAATAACAGGAATTAGTAGGAAAATAGTAGGAAAGTAGGAAAATTGGAAAATAGAAATTATGCAACAAAAAATGTATAAAATCAGCTTCGTTCACATACCTACATTTGAAAGTTGAAATGTCTCGTGTTTTTGTCCCGTGTTCCTTTCGTTTTTAATCATGTCTCCACATCCACGAAAAAAAACTTGTCAATTAGGGGAAGCCGGGGGAAGCCCGGCATAGTAAGCTCTTTTTCATTTTTATTACATACCATACATGCTGTATAAAATGTTGATATCCTGCTAGCTACCTAAGTTCATTGGCCGTGTTTTCCCAAAAATTCGGTTTTGTGGAATAAGTATAAGGTTGAGAAAATCGAGTTTTAAAAAAGTGTTGATTTTTCTGGGGTAAGCCCGGCATAGGGGTAACGCCGGCCACCTCCCCTGCGCTTTACAACAAGTTGATGAAACCATTATGTGTTTTCCAAATATTAACGGAAAGTGAAATATTAAGGTACTGATTAGCTCTGGACATCTTAGAGTTTATGTCACTACTGGCATTTTAGCTAGCGTCTACTACATATACAATACAGGTCGATGAAAATCGTGATGCGAAATTGACAAAAAATGTGTATTTTAAAACTCCTTAAAATTTATTTTTCTTTTTACCTTAATGCATCATATTGCATGTCATTCGACTCGGCTGATGAAGAAGAACACAACGACTCCATTTTTGAAACTCTAGCTTCATTGTCTGTCGCGTTATCTGCAAAAACGTAGTTTGACCCTAATTGACCTTAAGTGACATGACTGGCTTTGTCTATGATAACATGTTTATTTTCGAAATTTATCTTTGATCTAGGTGTAAACCAAACCTGCTCAGTACCTATTATCTCATGGAAAACAGTGGTTTAGTGGCATTGCTCTCGGTTGGGGGTAAGCTTGGCCACTCGCCCGGGGTTACCCCAATGTGCTTATTTTTATTTTAGAACAGCGATATTCGAAAAAATGTCATACTTAAGCCAGCCTGCCTCGTCACCCCTCACTACAAACACTTAAACTGTCCTTACATAACATTCGTATAAATATTAGTACTGTATGGTATAACATTAACAGTGCAAGATATCTCACTTTTTAGCTAAAAACCATTAAAATATCATTTTTGCGCTATAACTTTAACAATATGCAATTTTTGTCAGCCTCAACTTTTTTGCTGTCGTTACCTTAGCTGCCACGCTGAAAGGACAAACAGTTGAGCATTTTATTGTGAATAATTTAGCCGGAAACGGGGTGGCCGGGCTTCCCCCGCGCCCGGGCTTCCCCCGGCTTCCCCTATAGTCTTGTCATTTCGATGCATCCTTCAGCTGACTCGACATTGTTTGAAATTGATGTCTAATACCTGTTGTTTGCTTGTTTTCTTGCGTTATGCCCTTTCGGTCTGACAAGACCATTTCAGAGCCGGAAGGATGATAGGATTTAGGGGGAGATATTGGTCTGGAGAGGCACCCTAGGGCCTAGAGAGTCACTGGGGCTGAGCCCAGTCCAAATGGACAGGCCGACCAGCCTTCCAAGCACTCTCTGCACCCGGCTACGGGGTGCGCTCCCTCGGGAGCAGCGGTGCCGCTCCAAGGGAGCAGCCCGCATGAGACAAAGTTGCCTGTCCAGCACGGAGCGAGGGTTGCAGCGTGGAGGAGAAGGATTTGGTCATCCTGAGAACGGAAACGACGGACGGGCATTGCTAATATCTATTCATTTTGGTCCTATATAAGGCCTCTTTTTGTGTGATAGCTCTCTCTCTCTCTCTCTCTCTCTCTCTCTCTCTCTCTCTCTCTCTCTCTCTCTCTCTCTCTCTCTCTCTCTCTCTCTCTCTCTCTCTCTCTCTCTCTCTCTCTCTCTCTCTCTCTCTCTCTCTCTCTCTCTCTATCCCTCTCTCCCTCTCTTGCTCCCTCTCTCCTCTCTCCTCTCTCTATCTCCCCCCTCTCTCTCTCTCCTCTCTCTCTCTCTCTCTCTCTCTCTCTCTCTCTCTCTCTCTCTCTCTCTCTCTCTCTATCTATCTGCTCTTTGATCGGACCAAACACTCACTTGTCTCGGTCTCCGCTCAGGGTCTCTGCTGGCTTACCGCTAGATGACGCTGTCGGCTAGACTTCACCGGAGCGAGCAGTGCAGCGGTCAGCAGACAGGGGAGGGATCGATTTTAACGGCCCCCATTGCTGGGTGATGGCGGTCGTGATTTTTCCATTATATTTCTCTCTACTGCACATCAGCTCAGCTAATTTTTATCGATTAGCGTGATTTTAGAACATCCTAAGTTTTAAATTAGGTATTCTTAAGCTAAGACTTGTTGAAATTTGGGATATTAATGAGCTCACGAGTAAGATGAAGCTGGTTGTAGGTATACCAGAAAATGGTTCATGTGTGACCAATGGCTTTCCGACAACCATCTCGAGATAGAGGGCATCAAAAGTCAATCGCCGTCCAGGCCTAACCTAATCATCTCATATGAAAGCAGTGACATCGGAGCCAATTTAAAGGGACCCTGCCGGCTCCCACCTTCAAAAAAGTTTTTTTTTCCGATTTCAGTCCATATATTGATGTCCATCGCCCAGGACGGAGCATGGGACGCAATCACGATAAATATACAAAGTGCGCTCCCAAACCCAGGCACGGCTATCCTACAAACCCAACAAAGCGTCTCGTTCACTATCACAACCTGCAAAAATAGGCTTCCTCACGACGGCACAGTATCTGGCATTCACCATCAGTGGCAGCTCAGCTCCCATTCGCACGATTCATTTCCGTTAAAGGGCGGCGGCAAGATGTCCACAAGCTCCGTGTCCGTTGATAGTCCCTGGCAGTCCCTGGTTGACCGGCGCAGCAAAAGTGACGAACGCTGCTCACGGAACGGTCCCACGGAGGCGGATTGGTGTCCTTTAGATCCCACGGCGCCCGGTCAGTGCGCAGAGCCAGTCACCCAGTACCGTCCTCCCGTGCATATCACGCGTCGGCCCAGGCCTCGTCATCCGACTCGTCTAGGTCGGCGTCTTCATCGACCGTGGCCGGCATGGGCGACAGGTTGGTCAGCAGGTCACGCATGGCGTCCAGTAGGGAGACCACGGAGGTGCGCAGCTCGCCGCCCAGGCCCGGGTCCTCGCCGGCCGGCCCGGCGCCACCCGCCGCCGCCGCTGCTGCGGCCACAGCGTGTCCGTCGTCGAGCAGGGCCTCGGGCGGGTTGTTGGGGTCGAAGTTGGGCAGCATCGAGTAGAAGAAGGCGGCGAACGGGTTGCTGGAGCCCAGCGCGGCCCGCGGCCGCCGGGTCAG